GTCAAGCGCATCATTTTTTCTGTGAGATGCAAATTGCGCACAAGCCAAAACGACAATTGTATGGGGCACTTTGGCATGGTATCTATTTTATGTATCTCCAGCTTTTGACGTGCCTTCTCCACAATGTGTTCAAATGAGTATTCTCCACAAGCCTCGACAGGCCAGGGCGTTGTGGTTAGTTGAAAACGACGAAATTTATCCTGCATGGATGGTATATCACGAAAACGATTCAAGGAGCCCATATCAATGCATTTGAGCGGCTCGGGCAGAAAGTACTCTGGCAATATTTTAACCTTGCTATAACACTTCATTGTCGGATTCCTTGCAATGTACTGGGGCGGCCTAAAGTAGAAATGTGAAGATTAACAAGAAAATATACCTAGCTCCAACATTTGCCTATTATTCTCACCCTTGTATATCATCGCAGTTGATGACGATGCGTTGCAAGGCGCGTGACTTGTAAAACACATGCTGGCGTCCACTCTCGCCTTTCTCATAGATCTGACAGGTGACGCCGTAGAGCTTGTGGGGGTTGTCGTCAGGCGGCTGCATCAGCGGAAAGCCAACGCCGAAGATCACACCATCTCGTCCGGTATCTTCGATTTCTTCGTCAATAATGTTGCCGTCGATCATGAAGGGCAGCACCTCGCCAGGGAAGAGTATATGCTGGTGCATGAATATCAGCATACGATGTGTGCTGCCCACTTCCAAGTAGTCCACGCCGGGAACACGATTCAGATTCGTACCGAAATATGAATGTTCTGCCGGCAGATTTGTGTCAAAACGTACTCCCTCTTCCATGTCAACGTCCAAGGGTGGCGGCGGCGATGCTTCGGATGTATCATCTGGAACAGTATTGATCACATCAGCGTTGTTAGCATCATCGCTCGCCCTGCCACGAATGCGATCCTGGCTAAAAACCATGCTACGCACGCGCTGTAAAAAGTTTTCACGTCGCAACAGTGTTGCAATACCTCCATCACGATTACGAGCCTGCGACACCAACATATCCACCGCTGAGCGGACACGATTCGCCGGTATCATCCAACGTGGCACTGCCTCCGCATCCGAGTCATCTGTATCAATGTTTAATAGGAAATACAATTAGATTTTGTCTTGTAATGACATCCGACTAACCTTCACTGCCTGGACTGTCCAGGGACATATCACTCCCGCTGTGCCTAGAGCTCATGCTAGCCCGACTTGGACTGTCATTGTTCACCAAGGCCTGTTCTGCTTGCTGTTCCGGTCCCTCCGCCTCCTCTTCAATCTCAGCGGGAGGAGTTGTGTTTGTGGCCACAGTTGGATTTTGCGGAACTGCACCCGTTCCAGCATCTTCCCTTAGTTGGTTGGCGCGGCGCATTAGCTCTGTGACATCGACCATCAGCTCACTCACCTCCTCGAACATATTATCCACTTCCTCAATCATATTCTCAAGCCTCGCACGACTACTCACATGCGCCGTTGTCTCGGCATGTATTGCACTAGCTCCAGCTTCAGCCCTAGTTCCATCCCCAGCCCCAGTTCCACCTCCGTTTCCGCTGCCTTGTGGAATTTCCTCGCCTTGTTCTAACTCAACATGCATTTCTGCTGCAGTTTCCGTTACCGTTGCCATAGCATTTGCATTTGTATTTGTGTTTCTGCTGGATGAGCTGGTCTCATCGATTTCTGCGCATTGAGCAAATTCACATTTATAAGTTTCCTTAACTACTTCAAATTTCTCTTTACCTACCTGCAGTCTCTTCATCATCCATTTTTGCGGATATTCAGTATAGTTTGTGTATGTTTGAACGTTGGAAAAATAAAACTTTTAGATTTTTCTGCTGCTTTCTGTGTTATTGATATGTATACAAAGATACAGCTGAAGGTATAATGACAGAGTTGCCAAGTATGCTACCACACCGAATGACAGCCTTTTTTTGGAATTTGTTTAGATACACCGCATTATTGTTAATTGAAGGGGATTGAAAAAATATAAAAAATTTAGCGATTATTTCAAAATAATATTGTGGTATTTTTATACAAACTGAACTTGTCCGTATGGTTTTAATTTTGCTAGCGGTGCGTAATTCTATACAGTAGGCTGTCAACTCTCGCGAGTAATAACTCTTTAACATTATCTTTAACATGTGTATTGAGTGAGTACTGAATGAATGGAGCTCAGCTTTGGAGCTATTTCTCTGTGCTCCCCAGCCTCAACTCAGTGTTATGCATTGTGCTGTTGCGAATGGACGTCGGATTCGAAATTTTACCAAAGTTCGAGGTTTCATAAAGCGTTCGCGCCAAAGCTCATTAACAGAGGCATTTTAATTTGCATAAAAAGTTAAAATAAAAACGAACATGTTCCAGTGGCACTTTGTGTTATTTTTTAGCTTATTCACGGTTATCATTGGATTAAGCTGTGCTCAAGTTGCTTATGTAGAGGATGCTGACATCGATAAGCAGAAAAGTAATCTGGAGGTAAGCGATCCAACAAGACCTCAACAGCTGATAAGACAAATAAAACTAGCATCAAACAAATGAGATTTAGACTCAACACACACTCTCTCTCCCTCTCTCTCTGCCTCTTACTCTAGGGTCGCAAGCCGCTATACTCGCCCGCTCGCTGCGCCCGCTACCAGCTTCTGTACCCTGGAGATCAGCTTAATGACTGGATATGCGATTGCGCACCAGGTATGTGTCCATTAATATAGCGATGACATAATATTAATAACAATTATATAAAATGTGTATTTTACATGACCAGCGGCTCTTTATCATCCAGAAAGCGATGCCTGTTATCCAGCATATAGGCAAGGGCCATGTAACGATAGCCAGATATTAGTATTGTACAAAGAGAAAGTTATACCCGAATGCGTTAATAATCCATGTCGGCAGGATGGCCATTTTCTGATACGCGACACATGCTTCGAGTTCGGCAGCATGAATCAAAGTAAAAATCCCTGTCCCAAAAAGGAATACACCTATGTGCTGGGCGTTAATCCAAGAACTCTCATGGTGGATTGTGTGCAGCTCTCGACTCAGCTGGAAACGCGCATATCCTTAGACGAGTCCAACAATTCAGTTGCTCCGCCAGAATACCACATTGACTTGGCGAAGAAATGTGGGCGCGGAAGCCGGCTATTTGCTCAAGGGCGCTGCACGGCTACTCCATGAAAGTGGGTCAGGTCAAGAAAATACTCAACATGAATTTAAAACATTTTAGCTTAAAGCAACAATAACAACTACTTAAATATGTACATGTGTAAATCCAGCTGTTATAGAATTTAAGTTGTTGATTTAGTTTTCCTACGAGTCTTTGGTGGCTCTGGAGCTGGCTCGCCGGTGGCCTCAAGTACTTCATCCACACCTTCGGTGCTAATGTCATCCTCTTCGACTAGATTAACACCATCCTCTATGCCTTGTTCATCGTTTACCGACTCCATCTTTAGCAATGTATTCTCCATGGAAGCAAGGAACGAACTCTCGCTATATTCAGGCCATTGGCGAAATTGTGCAAATAACGTGAGCATTTGACTTGGTGTCAGGTCGCCAAACTGCGTATATATATTAATGCCGGGATAATAGTCTCGTGTACTCATGGTGGTACTCTGCATCGAAAAGGGAGGCAAACGCTTGACAGATTCATCTTCGTAAATGGGCCTGACTCTTTCTGGAGCATTTTGATTGATTATCAGCCTTGGTCCACAGCCAGGTACCCATTTTCTAAAAGACATTTAACTAGTAAGTACACAACGTGCCAATGCTTTCCAGATTACTTACTCCAGATTAGGTATGATACGATTCCGTCGACTGACGAAATTTTGCTTTATAAAAAACCATAGGGCAGGTAGATCTTGAACTGGACATATTTCATGCAGATTACGACGAGGCACAAATTTAACCAAATACAAATACTCCGGATTGATTGACTTGACCTTGGCCAACTTACTGCTTTTAGACAGATTATAGTCGGCCTGCACGGGCAGGAAAGTCTCGCGAGGAACCTTGGCTATAAAACGATGCTCAAACAGTATTTGAAATAGCACCGAGGCTGAGCGATAGATTAGATAACCGATCTTGTTCGAGCAAGTCAGGTGCTGTAATAGGAAATTTAATAAGCAAATGAAATCAATATGGAGATCGTATATACTCACAATATAAATGGGCGGCGGCATTGCTAGAATCATCTCACAGCGACCCAAGTTGTAGAGGCTCATCTGGAATATCAGCGAATTGATCAGATGCTTGAAGAACGCATATGAACCCACGGCACCGAAAACCAGCATATTAATATCTGCAGAGGGAGCAAGATTTATATATATTTGCAATGTATTAGTCTAATCGAAATCTCTTACCGTCGTTGAATGAGGTTCGGGGCACATCGCTTAACATATCGAGCAGACGTGTCCCACTATCTATTTTATCCATATAAGCCAGCTTCCATAGAGCAATAAAATCACCATAACGGACCTTCACGCGATCCGGATACAATGCATGCAGTTCCTGTAGTCGCGGCATAAAGTATTCCATTGTTTCCATCAGAATGATCTTACGAAACTGTGTTTCCCGATCGAGTAAATGCCGCGTGAAATGACCCGGTCCGGGATTCAGCTCCATTACAGTATCACATTTGGTTTGCCGCAGATGCGGCTCCAAATAATCGTTGATCTGTTCGGCTATTTGCGCGTTGGCCACATACATGTGAGAAACGCTTTTCTGCTTCTTGCTCAGCAGCTTCTCTGGAAATTCGCCGCTATAACGTGCAACCCGCTCCGCCTGCACGGCCCGCTTGGATTTGGTGCTTTGATAGCAGATGCTCAGCCGTTGAATATTTCTCGCGTTGCACAGCGTGAAGCTGCGACGCAGGGACATCATTTTGTTAACTTTTCTGTTTTATAAATTAAATAATAAGTAATAGTAGCTCTTCTCTGCGGTGTACAAATGGTTTGTTTATGTTTACAGCATTCACTGCTCGAAGTCATTGTACAGCACTGTCTTTGCCTGTTTTACAGCACTGCTTTTGTTGGTTATGTTTACAAATTGCAACCAATTTCTCAATGCTTGATTGTTGTGGCAATAAGTCGATAATTTTAGTATAATTGTTAATTAAAATAAAAACAAACACGAAATGGGAAAAGTCATGTCTATGGTGGCTCGCAAGGCCAATCGATTTAATGTGGAGAATCGGGCACATCGCGTACTGGAACGCGAGAAGCCCACACCGGCACCAAAATACGAGTCGAATCTGCGTGACATGGAAAGAACTTTAGAGTGTAAGCTGTTTATGCAGCTGTAATAAAAGGTTTTACTAATATTGCTTTATTGCTTGGAATTTTAGTGGATCCCGACTTCGTGAGCAAACTAAACACAAAGGACGCCAGCTTAGATACACGACTAAAAGATGTTTATGTAACATCAAAGGATCAATTTGTGGGTTAAACGAGAGGCAAATATATCGCGAAATATATTAATTATAATCCAAATACTGTATTCAGATTCAACGAGTAGTGCAACGCCAAGGAGCTGACAGACCGCTACCATTGGACAGAACCACGCCGACTGACTTTGAGTATGGCTACATGGAACCAACGAAAGTATCAAGTGGACGTTGCACTTTACGACAGGCGATGCAGTTTATCAACGACCATCAGCAAGACTCCGAAGAGTGGACGGCCAGTAAAATAGCAGATCAATACAAGCTAAAGGAGCCGCATGTTGGTAGGTTTAAATATCTTAATCTTAAATATAAAGCTAATTGATTTAACTTACAGCAAATATTCTGTACTACTTCAAGACGTTTAACATCCATATACCTGACCAAAAGTATAAGGACAAATTGTTGACGCAATCTACTCAAAAACAGATTCAAGAAAAGCCAAGTACAGAATAAAATAGCAAAATTTATGTAGCGATTGAATCGACAGTCTCCATAGTTAAAATGCTTGTTATTAAATTAAACCTATATTTTATTGTACAAATTGCATTGACGCTTTTTCTGTATCACACGATAGCATTCGGTGGACAGTAATATATGTTCAATGACTTGTCTTCTGAAGCAGATATTACTTTATCGTTGCTCGGGCTGTACCGTACACCCCACACTTGGTCTGAGTGCTCGGTAAAGGTATGAATACATTTGCGCTCCGATGTATCCCAGATTTTAACGCTGCGATCACTAGACGAGCTGGCAAAGTGTTTGCCATCCTCCGAAAAGGATACACACAGCACCCAAGAGGCGTGGCCAGACAGTGTGCCTACCACATCGGAATGTGCACTAGAATTTTAAATAGATATTCAATAAACTCTGATTTACTAAAAGCCGACAACTTACACATCGTAGAGCTTCATGTGTCCATCGTCAGAACCCGTGAGCAGCATTTGTGAGTTTGGCGAGAAGCAGAGACTGCGTACAGGCATGGCATGACCCTCCAGAGTCTGGGCCACTTTGCCAGCAGCCACATCGAATATGGTAATGATGCCATCGATTGCACCGTTTGCAATGTATTTACCATCAGGACTCTACAATTTGGAATAATTTAATTTCTGTACAATTCTGAAATATCTCTGTTACCCACATATGCAATGCTTAACGTGTATTTGCCATTCTGGGCGTCCAGCACCTGTTCCGTTTTACCAGTCTCCACGCTGTACATTGAAATCTTGCCATCGTTAAGGCCAGATATGACATACTTGTTGCATGGCGAAAAGCCTACTGTCCACAAATCTACGGGGCCAAATGTTAGCATATGTTTCTTATCGCCCGTTTTGGCATCCCACAGGCACATGCTAGAGTCGAGCGAGCTGCTGGCAATGGCTGTCAAATCATATTTTCTGAATTAAAGCTTAAATAATAATTAAATGAGCTAGCGCTTCATACTTTGACCATCGGAGCTCACGGCAACAGAGACCACACCAAGGGCATGACCTTTTAACTTGTGTCGTAGTTCCAAGGTGTTATCTTCACGTATATCCCATACTTTGACCAGATCGTCCAGACCCCCGGTCACTATGAAATCCGTTGGTTTCTTCTCCTTTTTCTCAAAATTAAATGGATTCTCTTCCTCTTGTACGGCGCTGACATCTTCAGTTGCCGGCTCTGGGACGCGTCCCCAGGCGCATGCCCATAGCGCGTTGTCATGTGCATTCTCCTCTTTGTGCAACAATGAAAACTAAAGAATAATGTCATTTAGTTTAATATAATTACTTAATATTTAAAATATTTACCATTCTAAATAAAATCACTTAAAATTATTTTTTTGGAAATTTGAGTTTACGATAGAGATGGGTGAAATGTTCACAATAAATAAGAGCTACCGATATACTCAATTGAACAAGTTCCATGCGCTCAAAATCAAGTAATAAAATAATTTACATTAGCTATATTATATTTAATGACCAGTATAATTATACTATTATGTAATAGCTATAGCTTTAATTAACTTTAATACAAATTTAAATAATATAAACTTTTGCTTACACTAGTTGTTTGGTATATTCATGTTTTCCCAATATGGGCACACTTCACCAATGAAAAACTCAACACTGATGATTGGTTCGCTCTTGGCATTTTATTCCCTATTCTCATACGCAATGGCCGCCAACAAGGAACGCACTTTCATCATGGTGAAGCCCGATGGAGTCCAAAGAGGACTTGTCGGCAAAATCATCGAGCGTTTTGAGCAGAAGGGCTTCAAATTGGTAGCAATGAAGTTCATGTGGGTGAGTAAAGCCGGCAGCCTAATTGAATTAAGAAATCAATAAGTACGCGTGTTCAGTATTCGTGTTTAACCTCAACACGCGAACGGGTTACCCTTGCTAATATTGAAAATGACCGGTTGAGGTTATATTCTATATACGCATATAATTTTAGAGGTCATGAGGATGTTAGATATCCATTAGTATGATATTAATTTGTTCATCATATTTGATTACAGGCTCAAAAAGAATTGTTGGAGAAGCATTATGCTGATCTGTCTGCCCGTCCCTTCTTCCCCGGTTTGGTCAACTACATGAGCTCCGGTCCAGTGGTTCCCATGGTGTGGGAGGGTTTAAATGTGGTCAAGACCGGCCGTCAAATGTTGGGCGCTACCAACCCAGCTGACTCCTTGCCCGGCACCATCCGTGGTGATTTCTGTATTCAAGTCGGCCGCAATATCATCCACGGCTCCGACGCTGTTGAATCAGCCGAAAAGGAGATCGCTCTCTGGTTCAACGAAAAGGAGCTTGTCACCTGGACCCCAGCAGCCAAGGACTGGATTTACGAATAGATTCCAAATGCAATCTGTTTGCTACTCACTAGGGCCTAATGCAGTTCTTTTAAAGAATAAAAATTCCACATTATATACATATTAATATTTGTTCATATTTTATTCGCACAAGTATTTGGCCCAATCAGCTGATGGCTTTTCCCCAGGCAATACCCATCCGTGTGGTATGCTGCTGCCAACTTTGCCTGAGCTTATATACGAGTCCCATATTGCACTGCAAAATGAATTTATATATTAAGGTGACCATCTGAAGCTAATAAGCAAGCTTACCGCCATTCCACAAATTGCGGATTATGTATATTGCGTCGACTCTTTAATGATCCCTGTTTTAAGAGTACTGAAGAGATTCCAAATATAGCTTTGGACCATTGCGCCTCACAGTTGGTGGGCATTTCTTGATTGATCGCATTAATGCTCTCCTGCTGCACACGCCGCCAAACTGTTCGCATTCTGACTAGTTTTTCACTCAAGTTGCCCTTGCCGCCACGCGCCTTGTACAATCTCTCCAGCAAGTCTAATGTGTACAGAATGTTGGACGAATCGTGATGTTTTTTTAGCGTTATATGTTCGGCTTGCTTAGGAGCTTTCAAGTTTTCCTCATCGGCGGCATTCACTGTGGGTAGTGATTCGGTTACTTTAGCTGATTTGGAAATGGGCCTATTGAGCTTTATTTGCCGCTTGAGCTTCTTTTTGGTCCTTTGGCGTCTTTGTTTACGCTGCAATTGAGTCCGAGCTAGTTTCTCGCAGGGTATTTCTGATAGTTCCGCTAATAAATTTGTGGTTTGTCTTTCCAATTGGCGAGATTGCTCCAAATCGAAACCGTTTGGTGACGCATTGCTTGCCGCTTCCAATAATTGTAAATTGTCAATGACATTATTAACTTTTGCCTTTATTTCGCTTAGTTTGAGGCCTTGCGGCATATTTGATATTAGTGTTGGTTAACGTTGCAAAATACATATAAATATATTAAGAGTGGGTAGCTTAGTAAAAAGCAAATACAGGGAAGAATGTGGTTGGCGGCATCGGAGCAGCTGATGGTCTATGCTTTAAGAATAGCTTCTGCCTCACTTAACATCTCGGCTGCCTTTGTGTATTCCTCTGTTTCTTTGAGATCCTGCTCATCCTGCAGAAATTTTTGCAACAGTTCAAATTCCTTTTGTAGCCTATGAAAATTAAAGCATATTTAGTATTGACTAAAGCTGAATGGTGTATTTTAATGACTCACCTTCGCTTTGAGTCTGGTAACATCATCTGACATTCCTGTATCACCTCTTCTTGCTTGCGTAGTACATGTTCATCAGCGCCGTCTGTTTTGAATTTATCAAGACGAGCAAACTCTGTTTTCACTTCCTTCTCATAAACAGTCTTCTCCTTTGCCAGGCGCTTGACAACACCCGTTTTTATAACTAGCTGCCTTAAGCGTGGATCAGCCATATCTGTGATTATATTGATTTCTAAGTACTCGTACAGCTATAAATGCTATATTGTTGTCAATATAAAATGTAGCCTTCGAATTTTTTATTTAATTTAATTTATCGAAATTTTCAGCACAGCCGGTTGAGCTTTGCTGCTTTGTTGTTTATAAATGCCGCCTGTGAGTCAGATGACAGAGTTGCCACACTATTCACTAAATTCACGAGTTCCAGTTCCGAAAATCAATCGGCTATGAAATAAGCTCAGTTCGTGAAGTGAACACATGTTCGTGCAATAGATTCGACTACGGGTACACCGCTGAACAGACTTTGTAATACCCTGCGATAACTAACAAGTATTCTTTCATTTAAGCTACAGCTCAAAAAATAGGAAATAAAATAAAAACTATGTATTCTTTGTTGTATTTTACGGTTAAGCATTCTTTATTTTTATTTTCTCAATTCATACATTAAAAGATCATTTTATGTTTGTTTATTAAGCAACATTTTCTGTATCCATGAATTGTTTTCTGTTGAGGGTTACAATTATAAGTTTCATAGTAACGACAATGAATGCACTATGTATGTAAGTACGCATATGCTTGTTATGTGGTTAATCGTTTATGAGAAACATTTGATTAGAGTATGCAAAATGCCAAATGAGGCTCAATAGAACATTTAGAATGTTTACAAAACCGCACATGATTATGTATTTATGAATATTATTTTTGTAATACTTCTTAAGCATTTGTCTTTTTTGTTTTGTTTTCTTCTGGGAAAAATTTTGAATTCATTGCGAATGTAGTCTTAATTTTTTTGTTTTTTTGTTTTTTTGTTTTTTTTTTTTTTTAAGTTTTAAGGTTGGTAAGATGCAGAGTGGTTTAAAACTATATTCTGAAAATTACTTTTATAATATATAGATTTTAAATCGAATGCCTCCGACTGACTTATCAAAAGTATAAAAAGTGTTTAAAATCCATTGATTGAAATTATGGCGTATGTGATAAATGAGGAGCAAGTAGAGAGGGTGGTGTATAGAGGGTGCCGGGCTAGCAGCAAACTCCAGTGGCGAATAGATTCCGATCATTATTATGATGCTGAATGTGGGACTGTTTCCTGCGAAACGATTTGCGGTGGCGAAACAAGTTTAGATAGCTAGAGTATATGATAATTATGAATATGATGGCGATAGATTTTGCGTACGCGTGGGGAAATGATTCTAGGTGACCAATGTGTCCATTCGTCTGGGCCTCGTTACGTACAGCGAAGTTGGCTCGAACCATTGTTTCTGGCATTGCCTCACTACTAATTGTGTGTGTGCTTGTAATAAATTGCAATAGTTCTTCAAGTTTATATAATATATGAATGCAGTGGTTAATAGTTGTAGTCGATGAAGTTTTATACGCCATGGACTTTGTGCCAAGCCCTTGCATCGGTTTTGCTCGTCTATGATGAGTAGATACTATAAATTTTAAGTGTGTTGTTGCTTTTGCCGTTTGCTGTTTGAGTGTTTGAGTGTTGTTGTTTTGGTTGTTGTTATTGTTTATGTTGTTATTTGAATTACAAGTCTGCTGACACCCTAGTTATTTCTTCTTCTGTGCCTTCTCAGCGGCTTTTGTTACTTTGCCCGAGGTCGTTTCTTTAAAGTTCACCGATTTGATGACACCGACCGCTACAGTTTGACGCATATCGCGCACTGCGAATCGTCCCAGCGGCGGAAATTCTTGGAAGCTTTCGACGCACAACGGCTTAGTGGGTACCAGCAATATGATGGCCGCATCGCCAGATTTGATGGCCTTCGGTTCGGTCTCGGTGGTCTTGCCCGTACGACGATCGCACTTCTCCTTGATCTCAGAAAACTTGCATGCGATATGTGCCGTGTGGCAATCCAATACAGGGGTATACCCATTGGCAATCTGCCCAGGATGATTGAGCACAATTACCTGTACAGAAAAAAGAATTTATTATTACAAATGAATGAATTCAATTTCTGTTCCAATCTCAATCAAATCAACACCCACCTGAGCAGTAAAATCGGCCGCGCCTCGTGGTGGATTGTTCTTCGAATCGCCAGCCACGTAGCCACGACGCAACTCCTTAACCGAGACGTTCTTAACATTGAAGCCGACATTGTCGCCCGGCATAGCCTCGGTCAATGCCTCGTGATGCATCTCCACGGACTTGACTTCAGTAACCAGATTAACAGGAGCAAAGTTTACCACCATGCCTGAAACCGAACAGCAAAAGTATAAGTCTATGAAATTATAAATTAATTTGAATGATTTTCTCACCTGGCTTGAGAACTCCAGTCTCCACACGACCAACTGGTACTGTGCCTATGCCACCGATCTTGTAGACATCCTGCAGAGGCAGGCGCAGCGGTTTGTCAGTGGGCCGCTGGGGCGGCATAATCGCGTCCAGCGCGTCAATCAAGCACTTGCCCTCCGTCTTGCCCTCCTTGCGTTCGACGGTCCAGCCCTTGAACCAGGGCATCTTCTCGGATGCCTCAAGCATGTTATCCCCATGCCAGCCCGAAATGGGCACAAACGCGACCGATGCCGGATTGTAGCCAATCTTCTTGATGTACGAGGAGACTTCCTTTTTGATTTCCTCATAGCGTGTCTCGCTATAGGGTGGCTCCGTCGAATCCATCTTGTTGACGCCCACAATCAGCTGCTTAACGCCCAACGTGAAGGCCAACAGCGCATGCTCACGCGTCTGGCCGTTCTTCGAGATGCCAGCCTCAAATTCACCAGTGCCGGCAGCTACAATCAGCACAGCACAATCGGCTTGCGAAGTGCCGGTAATCATGTTCTTGATGAAATCCCTGTGACCGGGCGCATCAATGATGGTCACATAATACTTAGCCGTCTCGAATTTCCACAAGGCAATATCAATGGTGATGCCGCGCTCGCGCTCAGCCTTCAGTTTGTCGAGCACCCAGGCATACTTGAACGAGCCCTTTCCCATCTCCTGGGCCTCCTTCTCGAACTTCTCAATTGTACGCTTATCGATTCCGCCGCATTTGTAAATCAAATGTCCAGTGGTGGTCGACTTGCCCGAATCTACGTGGCCAATCACAACGATGTTAATATGAATCTTCTCCTTGCCCATGGTGCTGCTACGTAATCAACGACGCGATAAATCTCTGGAGTCTCTAAGTTTCAAAAATCTTATTTTTCCTTCCTTTTTTAGTTTTTGTAGTTTTTGATACAACCTGCATGGCAAACGACATACACATATATAAATATGTAGACTCATGTACATATATATCAAATTTGGAGCGTAGGTGTCATAGAGAAACAGAGAAAGACAGAGAGAGTGTGGGAGAGAGAAAAAGCAAAGGCGTGTGCTATAAGAACACGAATGAGCATAGCCAGGACCTGCATATGTATAAACGCATGTACATACATATGTATGTATTTATTTATAAGTATGGCTAAGGTGTGGGCGTGAAAGTGGGCGCGACTCTGTTCGCGGTGTAGAGACAAATGCTGCCGCTGCTGCAGCTATGCTCCTGCATATTCGATAAAGAGGACACTTGAATTTTGCATTTTAATTTAATTTATGTACTTAAGAAAAAGCTACAAATATTCTGAAAGCTTCTACTTTTAAAAACTTAAATAAAAAATAATATAATTTTTTTTTAGAAAACACAATTTTTGACAAATGATCCAATAAATTTATACAAAAATCGCACATCATCTTATCATTTTTTTGTAAGAGCTTTTTAAGTAAAATAATATTTGTATTATAAATTTCTTTTATAAAATAAAATGTATTTTTCATATAGAACAAGTTGCAATATGAAAAAAAATACAGACCAGAAATAGGTGCTGAACAATTAACCGGCTTTTAAGACGGCCCAGTAAATATACATATGTATTTACCATTATACATTTATGTAAATGTGTATATGTACATATATTATATCTACATGGACAAAAATTACAAAAATAAACATTAATCTAGGTAAAACTTACCAGAAAATTGGTTTAAATGTAACTTCCTGCTCACAGACGCTTCAATTGGCGATGCACTGAAAAAAAAGGACAGGTGAGCTGTATTAACTAGTATTTCACAATAATATCAAATTTATAGTTTTATATGCTAAGCACACTGAATGAGCATGTTTTAATATTTGTGACATTATTTATTTAYGAGTTCCATATATAGATATTACCAATTGAGGACGACACACGTCTGTACGTTAGTCAATCGCGGAAAATCTGGACACAATAAGTATGCAAGCAGAGTCTCAATGGTTGAAACGAAAAATCAATAATGAACCCAGACAAACGACGAGAGCTTCTGGAGCTGAAAAGCGAGACTGAGCCGAACGGCGACGTTGCCGAATGCACTCCCCAAAGGCCCCACTAATACAACACACCAAGCCCACCAGCCCACCTGGGGCATTTCAATAATATCCAGTCTACGGGCTGCCGCAAAAAAAAAATACAGGTGGCAACCCATGAATAGCTCCTACTGACAATACCTTTGTTGTAGCACAAGAATAATTTAACAACAATTATAACTCAATTTATTTCAAGAGGCAGCGTGAAGTAGGAGAAGGAGTGGGAAGAGGTGGTGAAAATCAATGTTGGTGGCAAAGAGCGACTGCAACGGTATTTGTAGCTTTTGCTCATCGCCGGCATTTGCGGCATTCGTGTGCTCTTTTCTCCGCTCACGAGTCGAAAGGGTGAAAAATTGCACACAAACACACACACACTACATACATATGAATGTATGCACAACTAGCACACGCATATAGAGCCATAAATGCCGCTGCTTCGGGTTGCACTTGCTCATCGTTTCCGTTGGTCTGCGTCGTCTTGGATAAACTTGCAAAAACAACAAGGAGACAAATATGCATACATACATGCGGATGGTGTGTGTGTGTGTGCTTTGGCTCTTTAGCGTGATTTATTTTCTAGCCTAGAAACAATTTTTACTTGCGCTTTTTCTTTAGATATTTTTAACGACACATGTATGTACATACATGTGTGCATGTGTATATTCATTGGCACACAAGTGCAAATTTAAAAAAAAAAAAAAAGATGAAGAATAACCTTAAAGGGAAATGTAAAAATACTTTGCAGTCGGTCTCTTTCACCCAGCAGTAC